TTGGTTCGCACAACGCTCTTTTACTAGAAAAGCTGGCATGGGCTTTGTGAAAATGTCAAAGCAATGTCTAACAGTACAAGTAAGACATAAATAAACCCCAATTTATTTGTCTTTGAAGGTTGCTGTTTTTCCTCAACAACTTTGTCATCTTCTCCACATAGAAGTTTTGCCTGTGTTGAATGGACACATGATTTATAGTGAGGGTGTCACAGTGTTGGCTGTGTTTATGTGAATCCAGCTTTCTGACTGATTTTTCTATTTTGTATCACCATAGAAGTGTTGGAATATGTAGGGTGACGACTGCACTGCTGTTAGGAATAGCCCATAGCCTGATGTAGTTACACTGCTGGACATTAGCACGTTTGAAATCGTATCTTCAAAGTTGGCTTATCCACTTTGTGTGGGTGTAGAGTTTAGGGTGGGCTGGTCTGCATCATGTAACTCCCGGTCTGAAAACAAGTCCCACTTCGGCCCTGTTAAGCCCCCTAATAGCAGTCATTGTTTGAATGCTGCTGCATATCTGAGTATTGTCGCCAACCATGTGCCTCGCTTTACCACCACAGTTTGCTTGTGTGCTAATGGTGGCTTCCAGCATGACAGAGTGCACAAGTCATCTCTTTGACATATTTGATGTTCTTTTCTGAAGTAGGCTTGTGAAAGCCTGATATGAAACATGAAAAACTGCTGCCCTCCAGCATTTTATTCAGTATGTAATTTCAGCCTACCTTGTAGTCTTGCGCTACCTCCTTTAGGGTACAGAATCTGTGGTTGGTGTGCCCCTCAGAATCACAGCAATCCAGACACAAAGGCTGTTGATCGTCCCGGCAGAAGAGTCGGAGTTCCTTACTGTGCTGACTGCAGAGCGTTTCAGCCTTTTCTGGAGGATTCTTTGAAGGCAAGAGTAATGGAAGCTCCATTGAAGACTTTCTCCTACAAACCGGACACTCTCTGGATCCCTTGGTGTCCCAGAAGTTCTGCAGACAGGATTTACACGCTCTGTGACCGCAGCTCAGAACAACAGGATCCCTGATCGATTCACAGCACACAGGACAGGAGAGCTCATCCTCAGAGACAGAAGCCATTTTCTGTACCCTACAGGCACAGGTCTGTTTGCGTGAATGAATCCTCTTTTTCGTTTTCTCTTTTCAGAGGTATTTCTTCCTTGTGCTTGCACCACATGTTCCTGTGAATGTGATGAGAAGAATTTTACACTACCGATCACATACCTTATCTACATATCTTACATGAAATGGGTCTGGTAAGCTGTCAGGTAGGAATATCCTTCTGGGTTTGGATCCTCATGCTTTAAATTCCTTCCATATAGCAGAATAGAGAGTTGCAGTTTCTCTCTGTGGCTTGTACACATAGCAGTTGTGTGTTTAGACCTCTTATACATCCATATTAGGCCAGTGGGCAGACATTTTGGAGGGCAGGGGCTCAAAGGGAAACAAGAAGGACAAGCTAAACGTGAATTAAAATGTATTTAATTTACAGCTTACAGCAAACATGAGAGATTGTGTTTCAGAGCGAAGCACAGCCTATTCCATGGCAGCCAAAAATGTTTACACTACAGTCCAAGGCTGGACAGGGAGCTAAATTCAGGCCTGGACTGTTGTCTAGACCAGAGGTCAGTAAGCCAAATGTTAAGAAGAGCCGTTTTGTCCTTTCAACAAAAATCAAACCGTTTTATGTCACTGAAGTAATGTTTTACCATCTTGGCTAAAAATATGTCTTCATATGTGCTAATGCACTAGCGTAGACTAAAAATATAACATAAATGAAAATTCAGACTTACTTTGCTCTGCTTTAAGCTTTAGCTCAGCTATTGCTGCTTTTCTCACATCTCCAGCAGGAAACCTTTCCTCAAAAGTAGAACAGTTTCTTGTAAAACGTCTCTCAATCTTAGATTTTTTTTATGAGGCTGAAGTCGCTTCTCATTCACCAGCTTCTTGTACGAATTTTCCCGTTCCACCTTAAATGATGCCCGAGGCACCAGAATGCAACTGCTGCACCATTTAAGGTGGAACGAGAAAATTCAAACAAGAAGCTGGCAATTCGCTGCAGATTAAATGTATCAGGAAACCAGCTGGAGTTTGCATTATAAATGCAAACAAGTCCATCCATCTCCAAATTATCGATGTTCGTCTTAAATCTCTCTCTTTGCCGTTTCGTTAGCTACTAGCTAGGTGAGATTGTTGTCTGTGTTGCTATGGTGACCAGCAGTCTGTGCTGATCTTCAGGGTTAAAGGGTGAATTAGCAGTTCTACATTAACTCCAGAGTTTAAGACCATTTACTGTTAAACTGTGTTGAACAATCAGCAGAGCTTTATTTTACTGTAAAGGAGGATTATTTTACTTTTACCTACAAATCTAATTCAGCTGTGGAGCCACAACAGGGCAGTAAAAGAGCCGCATGTTGCCGACCTCTGCTCTAGACAATCATAGTGACTCTACCACACCCCCCTACCCCCACCCCATCAGTCTTTCTAAGCAGAAATGCACAACGCTTTAGTTTCTTGCTAGAATAAGGGTCACCAAAGAAACAAAAAAGCAACTAAGTGTAGTCAGTGCTTGCTATACTTGATATGAATGAACTAAAAATCTGTTAAAAAAACAGAAAAAATCTGGTAAAAATGTCTCTCACACACATAGTGGCTCAGCAGGTATTGTCCTGGTCCTGCTGATGGCCAGTCCATCCCTGCTGCTCTCCAAATGTGGGTTTGTGCCTCACTGTCTAGCATACATGACTAGTATTGAAATTCCTGTTGTTTTATTACAGTAACAGAAACATGACTCAGTAAGTTGCTAAAATCCTTTCTGTCTGAGCCCGACCCCAGCCCATCCTGAACCACACTGTCATGATTTGAGTCTGAAACTAACTCAAGTAAAACAAAATTCTGTCTGAAACTAATCTGAACCGGCCCATCATCACCCAATATGCAGAATAAAACCTGAATGACAGGGCCAATTACCCTGCAGACAATATTCACTAGAGCATGAATAAATATAATAAAAAATATATTATATAATCAGCTGCTCAATATTAAGCCTAAATAGTTCTTTAATGAATGAAGCTTTTGAAAAGCATCTCAAACATTTTTTAATCTGTATAAACTTTCCACACTGCGCTCTCCTCACACTAAGGTGGATGTTAGCGTCTCCTGTTTAATACTAAAGCTGTATTTCTGCACGTAGAACACACACACACACATACACATCATCTAAACCGCTTATCCTTCTGGGTCGCGGTGGGGTGCTGGAGGCTATCCCAGCTGTCATCGGGCGGAAGGCAGGATACACCCTGGACAGGTCGCCAGTCCTTCGCAGGGCAGACAGACAGACAGACATACACATCCACACACCTAGGGGCAATTTAGCATGTCCAATCAGCCTGACTGCATGTCTTTGGACTGTGGGAGGAAACCGGAGTACCCGGAGGAAACCCACGCAGACACAGGGAGAACAGGCAAAGTCCACACAGAAATGACCCTGGTCGCCTGGCCGGTAATCAAACCCAAGCCATTCTTGCTGTGAGGTGACAGCGCTACCCACTGCGCCACTGTGCCGCCCCACATAGAACACGTTATTGAAAATAAACATAACATAACATAAAAATACTTCAAACAATACTTCAATAACAATACTTAAATACTTTAAACAAATTGAACTTTTGGCTGCACTGAACCGTACTTTCATGACTCCATTCAATGCTTATGTCCTAGTTTCTCACAAGTGTGGACCTCCAGCATGCCAGAGATCATACGAGACTCACATCCAGAGTTATGAGCCTATGAAGAGGGGCTGAGATACACGTCATCTGCCTCTCACCGTGTGGAACTGGTAGTTTTGCGTGTCTGTCTACATTTTGACGTCATCAGATGACAAACCTTTACAAAAAGACATGAAAGTGTGTGCAGTTTGCAATTTTCACTGTCTGAAATGTCATTAAAAATGGCGGTTAAGGGGAACGGCAGAGGTCAAAAGCTAGAAGAACAAGAGAACTCTCAAGTAGAACTGCTCGTACTCTGACCAGAAAGCAAAACCCCTATCTGACAGCAAAGGACCAGCAGGAAGGCTTAGCTCACACAAGAGTGGAGGTGCAGCGTTCTACTGTGTGGTGTTTTTGCACAAACTTGATCTACATGGAAGAGTCATTAGAAGGAAACCTTACCTGTGACTTCATCACATAACTCAATGTCTAAAGTATGCAAAACAACATCTAGATCAGCCAGAGGCATTTGGAATCACTTTCTTTAATCAAACAAAAAAAACAAAATTGTAACTCTTTGGCTACAATCACCAAAGGCATGATTGGAGAAAAAGAGGAGCAGTATTTGATAAAAAGAACACAAAGCCAACTGTTAAGCATGACGGTGGATATTACAAGATGATTATCCGAAACATACTTTAATCAACCATGAACTACTTCAAGAAATTAAAGATATAGGTTTCAGAATGGTCCTTACAGTCCCACAGATTAAAAATAAAACTCAAAATATGATGCAAGACGACCTATAAAACCTTCTGAACTAAAAACATTCTGCAAGGAAAAGTGGGGAAAAATAAATTAAATCCAGCAAATAAATAATAACTGTACTTGAAAATTAGTAGAAATATGTCATCTTTAAGTCTGTTCTGTGCAGCGATAGTGTTAACTTCTTTTAACTTAGAAAATCAACAAAAAGTGTAATCTGACTGGGGGTGTTCAAACTTTTGTATACATACATTGTGATACATAGCAAGTTGCCTCTTACTTTCAATGAAGCACTTTATTTGATTCATGTTACATAAACAGAAAACTTTTTTTTAGGAATTTAAAATTTCATATAGGCCCATTAAAAAGTAAGTAATTAGTAAGTAACAGTGTGAGCTTCAATTACATTTTCATTAATCAGCCATAAAAATTCATGATCAGTGGAGCCTCCCAAGTAAACAGTATATAATAATAAATATAAATTATATATATACTGTATGTATAAATAGGATAAGTAAATGTAGATTTACTCGTGCTGTTCTAGTACTACAGAGAACCGAACAGGTAAAATCTTGAGCAGAGCGTCCGTTTCATCAACATAGAAAAATGGAAAGACTTTCTCAGTGAATCTGTGTTTTATAGTGTGTAAGTGTTTGTTACTGAGAGAATCAGTGAATGACAGTTTTCCTTTGTTCCAGTCCAGCTGCACTGTGATCCTCCGGAGTTTGTGTTGTATTGGGAGGGAAGTGGGTTTTCCTGTTAAAGCACTTGCTGCATATACACCGTTATACAACAACATCCCCCACATTCCACCCCTGGAGTCCACGTTTCCTTTCCTACTAGCAGACTCTATGATCACACCCAGACCCCAGAATTTACTGTCTCCAACTTCAACATCCCAGCAGTGCGTCCCTGAGTTAAAGCCCACTGATCCCAGGACAAAACGCTGATAATCAAATCTCTGTGGATTATCAGGAATCTGCTGTCTCTCATCCCCAACTCTCACAGTGGTCAGTTCATCAGACAGGCCAAGTATAGGATGAGCAGTGTTGGGGTCCAGAGTTACAGGAGCTACAGAACAGAAAAAACAGAAAAACAAAGATTTGCTTTAAGACACAGGGGAGGCCATGATTCCACCATGGTGCCATTAGAAAGGCACATAGCAAGCACTGTACTCATGCGGGATGTCACCACCAGCCATACGCTTCACCATCTCAGTAACAACCAACCCAAACTAACTAAGCCCACTCCCCAACACAGAACAACACAATAAACACATATTTCACAAGTGAAACTAAGAACAAACATTTTAACAAGTCCCTTTCTAGGAGGGTGCACTTCTACCATGAGCCTTCGTGCCAGGCTGTCTGCATAGCCATGCCTCTAGAGTCTCTATGATTGTGCTAGTTAGTAGTAGGATGCTACATAGCCCCCCTTTAAAGATCAACTGTCCCTGGGTGCACGCAGTCCAATCCAGTCCTTGCTGCCCTGGCTCCTTTGGCATGCTTCCCAAAGCACGTCGCATCAAGTGCCAAAAGAAAATGAAGGTGCTTGTGTAAAAACTTTATCAAGCTGTCTGGCCACTCTGACCTAGGCTCTAAACCAAGAGTGCATAATTGCTTTAATGGGAAAGGGTCACTTTAGAAGGTCTGTTTTACGCTTATCTTCTAAAAGCATTCAAGTGGAGGTCTTGGTTCCAGCTCAACTAGCCATAAAACAATGTCTTGGTTCACTTAAGAGGATCCCTTTCCCAGGGTTTGTGACCTCTCAGTGACCTGATAAGGTTTACAACGACAAAGGAGTTAAATGCAAAGAAACACACACAACTCTCAATGAAAAAAACATCAACATCACCAAAAAGACCACTGTCCAATAAAAACATTGAAATGGGAAATATAGCATATTGTATAAATAATTCGTAATTTAACAAGGATTAAGACTTGGACACACTGTACTCCTAAAACGCCATTAAAGTCGCAGCACCTCATGTTCCTCTGAGTTGTGAACTGAGGGTCTCCTGACTTCCTAGTTGGGCCCTTGTACCAATGTTATTATTTTCTGATCTGAATCGTACATCTTTATGTTTAATGTCACACATAGAGACTCAAAAAGAAGGTCCAGCTTGATATTTAGGCTTCAAATGATCTCAAAACCAACATCATACTGATGAAGATAATGATGACAACAGTAGATTCACTCACATCCTTAGAAGAAGCTCCTTCACCAACCAACGCTGGGAAATCTTCTTCTCGTGCAAATGCATATTTTTCATGCAATTCCACCTGAGAGGCCTCCAGATCCCCAAATCATACATAATGTAGCTTTAAGAAAGATATTTTTGCAAGAAAATAAAAAATGACTTACTAAACTGAACAATCTCCTGCATCTTCTCCCAGACTGTGAACCTCAGGTTGGCCAGGTATTTTGCCACATTGAGCAGCTCTACTGAAAGCTTCTCTGGATCCTGCAGTTTGTGCTGGGCTCTGGAAGAACATTTAGGACTTAGTACTGCTGAAGCTTTGAATTCAGGACCACAGAAAAGAGAGAGACACACAACTCACCTTTCCTTTGTGGCCGTGTAGTTCTGTAAAATAACAAGGGTGAAATTAGTTAATGCGTAACTCAGTAATGCATAATTTATATATTTTTACAAAAAGCATTACATTTGTCCTGTACAAACTGACTAAACTGTCCTCACTTGTACGAATGAAATGTCTTTAACTTCCATCCCCTCTTCTATGGCTCTGATTGTGTCTGAAAGTGCTTCTATCTCTCTGCTCATCTTCTCAATCTTATCCTTCATCATCTGACTCTTCTGCCGTTCTTCCATCCTCAGAGCTGCTATCCTGGCTGCCTCTTCATCTCGTAGAAACTGGTGGAGCTTCTCAAACTCCTCCTTAATCTGCCTCTCTGTGTCCTGGGCCTGATTCTGGAAATAAAGAGTAAATCAAATGAACACATGATTGAATATACAATGACGTGAAACTTAGAATGGCTGTAGTTTTTCATTCTAACCTTTATATGTTCAGCAGTCTGATCCCAGTTCAGTTTACTTTCTTGAAAAGTCTTCTGTTTGAACTTCAGGAACTTCAATTCAGCACCAAATTTATTCTGAAACAAATAAATTAACAAAATCCATACATTTTATTAGGAACACCTGTACTTGCTCAGTCATGCAATTATCCAGTCAGCCAATCATGTGGCAGCAGTGCAGTGCATAAAGTGGGTCAAGAGCTTCAGTTAATGTTCACATCAAACATCAGAATGGGGAAAGAATGATAATTTCAAAAGCGGCAGGTCAGTAGCTTTGTTGATGAGACTGATTATAACTCACTCTTTACAGCAGTGGTGATCAGGAAAACATGTCCACTCCCAAAGTGCAAAACACAA